AGTAAGAAATTAATTCTTGATATCAACAATTGATTTTGAATGGCAGCCTATGGTGACATTTAACTAGTGAAAATACAATTACAGATATCAAGAATTATAGTTTTTACTAGTTGAAATATAATTCCTGATATCAAGAATTAGCATTTTAACTAGTGAAAATTGAATTGTTGATATCAAGAATTCATATCCTGAGAATGAATAAAAGTCAAAACGGCTTGCCGTAGGTCTCCCCCTCATGCATTCATCCGAACGGACTATATTTTGCAGTTCAATCCAGTTAATAAACACAAATATAAGATAAACTTAGCTCAAACTCCGTCTAAGGTTTTCCAGAGATCTTCACCTGTCCACCTGAAGCAACGGGACATGTTTCCTCCAGAGCTGCTGGGGGCGGTAGAGAGGCGGCTGTAATGGAAACACATCTTTCTTGCACTAAATAAATCAATAATCTAAACATCTTTTGCTAGGTTGAGAATAATGTCCACAATATACTGAAGTTTGCCACAATATACAGCATTTGCAGACGCGGGTGATCTTATTCTGTCTCACCTGAGAGACTTTAAACACACTTAGTTACACCTATTAGTTTTATTATAGGTGCATAAGAGTTTCTGTAGCTATACTATGATTCATAATCATTATTCTGTGTGCACGAGATGCTTTGAGTGATGTGCTGTCTCCCTCTCGTGGTCAAAACTACATCTGCACGTTCGTGTTTTATATTTTAAGTCGATTTGACTTTGAGTATATTTAAATGTTTGAGTCTGTGGAGTATTATTTATTTGATATTATACAGGCTTCTCAAAAATCCTTGATTACTATAAAAAAAATTCGTCCTTCTGTTTCCATGAATGTATAACACAAATACAACCATATAAATATTAGATAAATAAAATGCATGATAAAATAATATAATATATTAAGTTTAAATAAGCGTTTTATTATTATTATTATTATTATTGACGTATTTTTTAAATTGATTTTAATGAATTACAAAAAGAGCCAGGGTACAATAAACAAAATATGATAAAATATAATAAAAAATAAACAAAAAATAATGGATTATAATATTAAAATGAAGAAATAAAATCAAACGATAGAAATAAAGTTATTTTACAGCTTTATTTTTTAAACATAAAATTGTTTTAGATCTTCTTCTGCTTTTAAAATGAAAAACAAAGGCTTATTTCCCCTATGTTAACATTTATGTAAAATACATTTAGAAGTAGCGGATTAATTAATATTAAAAAATATATATCTTATGATAAAACATGTCATAGGTGGTGGAGGTGGG